AATTAATCTAGGGTGGTTATGGTTTTTAGCCGTACCAGATTATACCTAACTAACTAGTGCAGAGCCCATGCGATGCACGGGTGCACAATTTTAAGGCTATTTATCCAGGCTTATAATTATAGACATGAATAAAGAAAAATATATGGGATATAAATAGTACGTGACCCGTGCGAGGCACACGGAATATATTTAGTTGGGAAATATTATATTATAAGATGCAATATTGAATAAAAGTTTTATGATACGTAGGAAAATTGTACAATAAGAGAGTATTTGACAAAGAAATAATCATATATTATTAAAAACCTCATTGTACACAATATTATGAGTTTGATTATTGGACAACTCGTCATTCTCACAAACTAAACATGTACAAAAAAGCAATCATAAAAAATTAATTTGTATAAAAAACATAAATAATGTAAATATCTAAATATATACACGATCTCTAGAAGAAATAAGGCAAATTCTAAATTTTAAAAATAAAATTAAAAATAATAAAAAATATACGTTTCATATTTCGAAATAAAAAAAGAAGTTAAAATAATTTGGCTTACAGTTTTATCGTGCAGAACCAACTCGAGATAGGATTTGTACGTGCTGCCCCAGTCTTGTAAAAACATTATTACAATTCAAACTTTAAGCATAGGTCTATTAGACCTATTAACTTGTTTGATTAAGCAAAATCATTGATTCATTGTTTTGAATGAAAGACTAATTGGATATATTTTTTTTAGCAGGAGGTTGAAAGTGAGGAAGACGATGGCTCAATATTTTGAGATTTATAATTTATAATTAGTAGAGTAGAATCAATATCTGTTAAGATTTGTAAGAAAAAATCTTGATATACGGAAATCACATTATATGTAGAGGAACAAATCAGATCATATTTTTCATATAATTAGATAAGATTTTTTGTACAAAGATAAGAAGAAATTTTAAATCTACACAAGCTATAAATATTAAATGTATTGATTTACGTAAATCAATATCTAAATATACAACCAAACCCTTCAATTTAGGTTTAACATCTGATTTATTTTTGGTAAAATTATGATTTTATCATCCGATCAAATCTACCTTTTTTTGTTTTACGCACATTTTTTTTTGTACCGATTTTATGGGAAAAAATAATAAAATAAAAATTAATTGATAGAAATATAATGCATTAATTACCTTTGACTTTTCTTCCTACTAATTCTAGTGTATGGGATGACCTCTTTATATAAGTATAGATACATTATATATTAAATTAATTTTTAATTATTTTTTGGCAGATTTATACCAGTATATATTAAATTATTTTCAATAGATTTATACCAGTATATATTAAATTATTTCCGGCAGATTTACAACAGATACTACGTGTATTGTACGGATATTAGTGTATTGTACGGATTTGGATTCCATAAAAAAGGATTTGCATCAATCATATACAATGAAATAAATCCCTCCACAAAAAAGGGAAAAAATTGAGTCCAAATTATGAAAAATTAATGCAATGGCGTGAAAAAATGATTTATTCCATATTATCTGTTGCAGTTAATGCTCGTATTTATTAGGCCGAAATAAATGCAATGGCGTGTAACAAAAACAGTTCATATGGAATGATTTTATGATAATTAATTCAGTGTAATTAATGAGGCGTGTGAAAAGGACATAAAACTTGCCGTTTTTGGAAAATAATTAATGCAATCCAGACTTTGACCATAAATTGACCTACTAATTTTGATAAATGTTAGTTTTTGTTATCTATATTAATATAAAGAGGTTGTTGGAAAAATATAAAAATAGTAACTTTGACTTTAAAAATAATGTGTTGACTTACTATTAGTAGAAATTTTGAAAAAAGCACATGTGAATCTTTAGAAATCAAATTTAAGGGAGATATCCCAAAAAATGTGAAGATTCTTAAGGTAACAAATTTGGAGATTATTAAGGTAACAAATTTGGATATACTTATGCCAAAATTTAATTCATTTCATAAATACGAATCTCATTTTTATTGGTAACAAATTTGGAGATTCTTGTGCCAAAAAATTGAAATTTTGAATTGAGATATCCCAACAATTACGAATTTTTTTCCATTCAAATTAATGTTTCAAATCAAACAAAAAAATTGTTCCGAGAATAATGGATGTTGTATTAAATATTGATAAACTCCAATCCTCTATAAATTATTTATATTTGTGCATTTTGTGTGTAAATATATTGTTTTTTTTTCTAAATAATACTAAATTACCTTATTTTAGGACCTAAATCCTAACTTCTTTTCTATTTTTTGGTGGTTTATATTCTTTAATTGAAATAATATTTGACTTATTTGATTAAAACAACTTATTTTCTTTAGGAAATAAATTTAAGTGAGATATCTCAAAAAAATTTAAGATTCTTAAGGTAACAAATTTGGAGATTCTTATGCCAAAATTTAATTCATTTCATAAATACGAATCTCATTTTTATAGGTAACAAATTTGGAGATTTTTATGGCAAAAATTAAAATTTTGAATTGAGATATCCCAACAATTATGAATTTTTTTTTTCCATTCAAATTAATGTTGCAAATCAAACAACAAATTGTTCCGAGAATAATGGATATTATACTAAATATTGATAAACTCCAATACTCCATAAATTATTTATATTTATGAATTTTGTGTGTAAATATATTGATTTGGTTTTCTTAGATAATAATAACTTACATTATTTTATGACCTAAATCCTAACATCTTCTCTATTTTTTGGTGGTTTATATTCTTTAATTGAAATAATATATGAATTATTTGATTGAAACAACTTATTTTCTTTAGGAATCAAATTTAATGAGATATCCCATAAAAATTGGAGATTCTTAAGGTAACAAATTTGGAGATTCTTATGCCAAACTTTAATTCATTTCATCAATACGAATCCCATTTTTATTGGTAACAAATTTGGAGATTCTTATGCCAAAAAAATTGAGATTTGAATCAAGATATTCCCACAATTACGGATTCTTTTTTCATTCAAATTAATGTTGCAAATCAAACAAAAAGTTGCTCCGAGAATAATAGATGTTATACTAAGTATTGATAAACTTCAATCCTCCATAAATTATTTATATTTCTGAATTTTGTGTGTAAATATATTGATTTGTTTTTCTTATTTGATTGAAACAACATATTTTTAGCCATATAATCATATAATATAAAAAATTCACAACTTAAATATATATCCATGAATATATAAAAACGCAAAACATTTAGCTGTGAATAGTATGTAAAATCCCGCCTAAAATTTTTGTTTTTACTGATAATGAATTTATTAAAAAAAAGGGTAAATTCCCACCTAAAGCACAAATTGATTTATATTTATATATATATATATATATATATATACAAAAAAAGGTTTGAAAATTCGGACAAATCTCTATCTATGAATATTTTTTTGTCCATATCTATTAAACTACAAAATCTTTTTAAAGTTTGGAAAGAATCTCATATTATGTGATTCCTGGTAAATATTTTTTTCTCCATATTTATCTAACTACAATATCTTTTTAAAGTTTAGAAAGAATCCATCTTTTTAAAGTTTGCACTCAATCGATCCCTTATATAAACCCCTCCCCACCCAATTACAAAATCCTAAGTTTGAGACCAAAAAAAAAATCAGTTAGTCACAAATAAAAAAAAAATCACAAAAAACTCCTAAATAAAAAATTCAAATCAACCTATCGAATTCTAGGGTTTACTTCGACATAACAATCAGCAGCTAGCCCCGCCGCTGAATCGTGATGGAGCTCTTCGTCGACGTTGTCATGAAGACCGACGAGAACTTTTGCGCCCTATGCACCAACGAGAAGGACGTCGGCAAATATGGCAATCCCCTCCACCACAAAGGGTCATCCTTCCATCGTGTAATCCCGAATTTCATTTGTCAGAGCAGTGACTTCACTGCGGGTAACGACTCCAAGTCGATCTATGACGCCAAGTTTACCGACGAGAACATCATGAGAAAGCACACCGGGACCTGTCGATGGCGAAGGCTGTTCCTGGAACAAATGACATGTACTTTTTCATCTGCACGACAAGGACGAAGTGGCTTGACAACAAGCACGTGGTGTTCGGGCAGGTGGTGGAGGAGTACGACATATTGAAGGCGGTGGAGAATGTCGGGTCAGGGAGCTACCGGACCTCGAGACGGGTGGTGATCGTCGACTGCAACCAACTCCAGATCTGATGGTTGTGTGTCGTTTAATTTGAAGTTTGTTGGAGACTATTTTCATAACTACCTAATAATTGTCTTCTGATTTGTTAAATTTGAAATTAAAAAATAGTTTGTTGGATACTTTTTTTCATAACTACCTAATAATTTGTCTTTTGATTTGTTTAAATTTGAAATTAAAAAATGAAGTTCATGTCACGTTCGTAAGACTCTGGAAATCATATAAGAATTTTATATTATATGATCGATTAGTTCCTAAAAACTTGGCGCATATATACAATCATTTTTCAAAACTTAAAATTTTAAGATTACATATAAATATTTCTTCAAATGGTCATATTTATCTTTCTAAATTTATTAAAGTTTTAAAATTACAATTAAATATTTTTTCAAATGGTCATAGTTATCCCAACACATTTTATCACACTAAAAATAATATATTACGATTTATCACACTACAAATAATATATTATAATTTAATTTTTTCCACACAAATGTTTGAAAATTTTAATTTGTTGACAAGAAGGTTTTCCACAAAATAAAACATAAAATATTGTGTATAGAGAATTGTTCAACAATATATGATTTTTCATACTCTGTATCTAATTTATAATAAAATGTTTAAACTTTAATAATTATATTTAAAAATAAAATTTTAAATAAGTTTTGAGGAACAAGCCTCACCGTGCATCGCACGGGTTGCTCACTAGTATATATATATAGAGGCATAAAACAGGGGTCTTCAATAGGAATTAATTAATTAATCAATCCCCCTAATTATATTCGTTAACCGCTAAAACCACTTTTACGCAGGCATCAAATCCCCCTAATTATACTCGTTAACCGCTAAAAGGGAACATGGAGAATAGTTGCGCAATGAGCTACTCCGGCAGCGATCGCCCGGCGGTGATGGTCACGAACGACGACGGTATCGACGCCCCCGGCCTTCGAGCTCTCGTTCGCGTTTTGGTCTCGACCAATCGATTCCGGGTCTTCGTTTGCGCACCTGACTCGTACGTCTGCACAATTATTTTTTATCAATACACAGCTGTATGCGTACTTTTGGTGTTCTGCGTGAAAATTATACTTTCTGCGTGCACGCATGTGCTGTTATCTGCCAATTAGCTTGCTTGGTAGGTTAATTCTGCAGAAATCTGAAATTTGTCGACTTTTAGCTCGGTTGTTCTGTAGTTAGATTCGTTTGTAATAGCCTCTAGTCTGGTTGACTGATTGTGCAAACATCTGAATTTTGGAGTATTATAATATGATTTTCAAATTCTAGCTCGGTTATTCTGCCTATGATGTGTTTATACTTACCCACTGTAATATAAGTTCATGATATGTGAGAAGTCTTTTTAGGAGGACGGCCCAATTTCTTGGAGTTCTTTCTAGTAGATGTGGATTTAATTTCTGGAGAGAGTGATAACCTGACAAAACATTGGATTAATAGAGACGATTACGTACGTGCAAATTAACGAATTAGATGGGAGAATGCTGCCTAGGCTTCCCTACAATGAACAAATAGAGGAGAAAAAGATTTAAAGACTAAACAAGCAATCTCTCTCTCTCTCTCTCTCTCTCTCACACACACACACACACACACATATAATATATATATATGTACACATATATATTTTACATTGTTTGTGATAGTATCACATACCAAGGTACAAATCTAATTGAAACATTACGTCATATCTGCACAAATGTAGAAGTGTTTGGTAATTGACAGGTGCTCAGTCTTAACCCCATTTCATTTTTCTGTTTCAGCGAACCTCTCTCTCTCTTTGATATTTCAGTTGTTGTTTGTCTCTTAATCTTCCATAATGGTTTGTTTCAATCAGTTGTTCATTTTTATATTTCTAACTGGATGAGTTGAAAATTTTCAATCTTGGCAAAAATTACATAATTTTTGCACCACTCTTTGTTGAATTTGTTTTATATTGCAATTTATGACAATATGACAATTATGGTTATACCAAGCAGTCAACTAAAAGCCCCATCTATCATTTTAAGTTAGGTTGTCTGTTTGATAAAATGCCTTTTAGCTTAGAGGTCTTGTTATTTCTCATTCACTTTTCTACGTATCCAGTGAAAAGTCTGCTGTTAGTCATAGTATCACGTGGAGAAATGCTATTTCTGCCAAGCCTGTGGAAATAAGTGGGGCGATTGCTTTTGCAGTATCTGGTAAGTTGCAATTAGCCATATTTTCCTATCTTCAATATGTTTTAATTTGGTTTTTTGGACCACTCCCAGGAGCATTTTTAGAATTTCCAGTCAAAAGCCTATAAAGGATCTTCAAGAATAAAATACTTTTATTGCAATGATGTCTAAGAAGTTATATCTTAATTAGTTTCTTGTGAAAAGAAAGGAATTGGTTTCAAATCATTCCCAAGTTAAAGAAGTCATATTCAGTTAGCTCTCAACTTAGTTATGTTCTAGATACTTCTTTTCTCTAGGATGATATCTTTCTGAAGTTTTGAGAGATGTGATTACACTTGTATTTGAAAACGCCATGTTTGGCTTGAAATGGAATGAAACACTTTCTCAACTATTTATGCTGATTCAAGATCTTAAATTTGATTTACTTGGTATATTATCTGTTCACTGAGTAATGACTTAAAATGGAGGAATTGGAAGAAGAGGATGTTGGTAAGTGGTTTGAGGAGGTGGTCATGTGAAATGGTGTATGAGTGAGCGTACTCTTAATAACGAGGCAGATGTTGTGTATGTCACGCTTAGAGACTTATTATATGGGTGGCCTGAGGAGGGCTGATTTGATGTTTAGTTTGTTTTGTATCAAAAACCTTTTAATATCAAGTTTATATTATCTCTAAATGTGATAGAAGCCAGATTTGAACTACAGTTATCTATATATCATTAAGGTGAAAGAAGTTTAAATCTACCACATAAATTTTTCCACGGCCACTTGTATTATTTTAAAGAGATGCTGCAGTAATATCTATACTTCAATAACCATTTGGTTTTGTCCACTTTCACGTGTAGTAAATTAAATTAATCATGTTCGTTTTTTTCTTTAATTTGATGCTATAGCCATATAAACAAAAAATTATATTTTCATATTTATATAAATAGTTTTTAAAAAGTTATTTGTATGTTGTACATTATTATTTGTTTAATCATTTTTCAAATTTAAAGTTGCGAATTTTTGTAGTCAGAATATGTTATCTCGAAAAAGATGATAAGTACCACGTTTGGTGAATGAGATATTTTGTATATTTTCTTCAAAAATTGTTATTGGAAATCGTAAAAACTAAAGCTAAAGCACTGGAACATAACCACTTAAAAATGTTTTAAAAGTTTCTGTCACATTTGACGGGTGAGGATATTTTTGAAATTTCTTGAAAAGATTTTCCTACAATAAAAGAAGAAAACATTTATACTATATTTTTCAAAATACGAAATGAGATTCATGTCATGGTGTTTGTGAGATGGGAGTGGTGGTGGTGGGTAAATTTGATTGGGATTTCTATGCACATCCATTTGTGGAAAGTGATCTTTAAATCTATAGAAAGAAACTAATGTTAACAAATAATGTTTTCAAATTATTGCATGCGTTCCTTGTGTTAGCCTGGACGGGCAAGTGGTGGCCAAGAAGGAGACTTTCCGGTATTTAGGATCGATGCTACAAAAGGATGACAGCATTGATGCTGATGTTAGGCATAGAATTGCAGCCGGTTGGTTGAAATGGCGCAAGCGTCGGGCGTTCTCTGTAATAAGAGGGTGCCACAAAGGCTAAAAGGTAAGTCTTATAAGACGGCGATTCGCCCGGCGATGCTATACGGTGCTGAATGTTGGCCTACAAAAAGGCAACATGTCCAACAACTAAGTGTAGCAGAGATGCGTATGTTGCGTTGGTTCTGCGGGCACAGAAGAAGGGATAGAATCCGGAATGAGGATATTCGAGACAGGGTCGGGGTGGCTCCAATTGAGGAAAAATTGGTCCAACATCGGCTGAGGTGGTTCGGACATGTCCAACGGATGCCTCCTGATGCACCGGTGCGTATGGGAGTTCTACAACGGGTCGAGGATGTAAAGAGAGGTAGAGGTCGGCCTAAACTCATTTGGGAAGAGTCGGTTAAGAGAGACCTTAAAAATTGGAATATCTCCAAGGATTTAGCGGTGGATAGGAGCGCTTGGAGGCTAGCAATCAACGTGCCAGAACCGTGACTTTTGCTCTTTTCTCTTTTTGTTTCGAGCCCTTTTGTGTTTCTCTTACCATTGTTTCTCTTGAGTTTCATCTCTAGCCTACCCCGACTTATTTGGGACTAAAGGCGTTGTTGTTGTTGTTGTTCCTTGTGTTAGACTACTAGTCTAATTTATGGGCTTAACATGGAATGCGTTGCTAATGGATTTTTCTGTTGTATTTATGCTTGGTTTACTATGATAATTCTTATATTCATATGATTCAATTTGTATTTTACTTTGTACTTAGTTTAACTCATTTATATGAACCAATTGACCTCGCTCATGCATGCTGTATTCATGGGTGAAGAGTACTAGTTAGTTCTAATTTAAGATAACTTATAGTAATTGTGCTGGATGTTGTTTCTCATTGTAGTTTATTGGGAGAGATCCTTTCAGAATTGGCGTGGAATCTTTATTTGGAATAATCATTTTCTTACGTTGTTATGAACTATAGTCCTGAATCCTAGTATCTATTGATATATTGCTATTGCTGAAAATTCATACATTTATGTTGTATTTCAGGAACACCTGCTGATTGTACATCTTTGGGAATTTCGAAAGCTCTCTTCCCTTGTATACCTGATCTGGTAAGTAATATTAGATTTTCTTTAGCTGGAACAGTGATGCACACTCTGTGGATCAATCTTTTTTCACCTCTATCCTTTAGTTTCCTAATATTTGCTTCAGCTTGTGTCATGAATATAGAGCCATCATATGGGGGTGCTTACAGTTTATTTATTTTTTCCCCTTTTTCCTTAAAATGTGAATCCTCTAGAATAGTAGTATTAGGAAAGGATAATTATACCCCATAATTATGGGATTTGATTACCCTAATTAGTCTCTTCCTTGTACTATAAATAGAACCTCTTGTATTGAGAAATACATTATTTCTTCCAGATAACACCTCTATTTACCTAGCATTTCAATTATTTAATTTAGCTTGCAGAGCTATGATCTCCTGTTTGCTATTCCTTCCTACTGGTCGTCCATCGTTGCATGCTACCTAGTTTATGTTAATTGAACGGCTTATCTATGAGTCTTATACTCTTATTATATTCGTTTTTTCAATTAGAAGAGCTGCTTAAATGGGTTCGTACTCCAATCTTTATTTGCAGGTAATCAGTGGCATTAACATGGGTAGCAACTGCGGTTATCACATGTTAGTACTGTTACCTGTACATGACCTTTAACACACTTGATATTTTCAGGTTTTTTCTAGAGATTGAGAATGTGTTGTAAATGCTTCAGTTCTTGAAATTTTCTTTTAGTTAGTGGATAGTGGTTATTATTATTATTATTTTAAACATAGAATGAAGAAATTTCGAGATGGGAGATGGATATGAGATGAAAATGTATTGAATAAATGATGATTGGATTTGATTGGTTGATAGAACTATTTGAGAAGATAAATGAGTTAAATTTATGAGAAAATGTGTTATAATGGTTAGGGATTTAGTGACTTTAAAATGGAATTGAAGAGGTTGGTAGGAGAACAAAGTGAAAGTCAGTGTAATATCTGAA